ATCTTCTACCGAATCCTCAGGAAACGACGAAGGCCATACAGCATCCCTTCGGCAGGAAATAATCCAGATCAGAGGCAATCTCCTAGGCATTGCCAATATGGCGGTCAACAACTAATAGCAAACGTCAGCACGCTATCCATATCTGGCATCAGGGAAAAGGCCACCGGGATCTCCAAGACAAGTCAGACCTTGGGCTGGCTCAAAGTTTCCGTTTTCCACCTCTATGGCCTCCAAGGCCATAGTCCTTACAAATCCCTTAAACGGAACGGAAACACGGACCGTCTACGCCAACCCAGCTCGAAACCAAAAATATTTGCATCTCACCTGTCTCCACCGAACACCGAAGTTGAGATTGCGGGACGGGATCGCGGGCACGAAGATTATGGAGAGAACTTGATGCTGACGGGCGAGGGGGGGAGAGAGACTGAGGTTGACTAATCCGCTTATTCCTTACGTCACTATAAAGACTGTGATGCATAGAAGCTACCCATAGTCCGAATTTACCCAGAACGCACGGTCAGATTGATATCACCATACTTCACCAAAAAAGCCCTTTTTAAGTTCTCGATATACAATACCATCAGAAAAATAATTAAAGGGGGCTCTCAGAACCTGTGACTCCGGCAGTCAAAATGTCAAAAACCAGAAATTTGAACCTGCTTACACGGTTTAGATTACCCTCGAATACAATACACTTCCGCATTTAAGTTGCTAAATACGTATTTTTAAACATAAATATAAAGTCGGGGTCTACCAGTAGACATTATTAAACGCATTAATTAAACCGCTTACAATCAGCGAGTAGAATAAGCGATCCAATTTGCGTCGAGGTCAAGTAAAATCTGCAAATCTATAGGATTCTGAACTATGGCATTGAACTTTTAGAGTCACAAAAACATTTGTAAAGGCTGTTAGGAAACAGCCCCTTTGAAAATCTTAATTGTACAGAGAAACAAATCAAAAGCGAACCTGAGGTAAGAAGGACAATGAGTAGAAGGAGTCTTATCTACCAGTGGCTCAGAGAACAGGGACACTTAAGTAAATGCTTACTGGCCAGATGGGGCCCTGGCTTTGGAATGAGGTCTTGGCAGAGTCTAGCATTCGAAAATTTAAACGCTACTATCAATGTAAACGACTGTCGTGCAATTTATTTTACCGGTACGACACCTCACATACTCACTTGTCTTCTCGTGGAGAATAGAGTACACATGTATTTAAGTAATTGCTGTCACGGTCAATGCCTCCACAGACACATATGACACTGTCCTCACCGACTGTGACAGTGACTGCTGTATGGTTCCCTCGCCAACCGGAAATCGGCGTACATTCGCTCCATCGGCGCTGTTTCGTATCAAATTTATCTACGTTTGTGTAGTTGCCATCATGCTTATTTCTCCCAATTGCAAAGATGCAATCTGTTTCGGGGAATCAAAAGAAGTGGATAGGGCCGATCAGGCAAAAGAAATGCTTTCGTACACGAAATACAGACCGTAATACTGATTGTGAAAATCAATGACAGAAGTGCACCATTTTAATTTTCTCTTCTGCCCGATATTGATGTAGATACATGAGAATAAAGACCGATCTCGGGAAACATAATTGTAAATTCCTGACGTTTGAAAAACAGAGACGTTTTCAAGCTTTCGGCTCCACATGAGAAGCCATCGTCAGAGTAAATGAGAACAGCAGAAGTCAGCTACGCATAAATGGGGTTGGTAGGGGAGGGGGCGGTGGTGGTGGCAGTTATTGATTGGTTTTTGTCCACGCCAAGTCCATTCTCACGCGTCCTTATCGCGTCTCCGAAGCGCGTCCCTGGCCTTCTTCCAGACCACGAATTTCACTTCTCGAACACACGTATAATGGCATGGGCCAGTAATAGGACGGGACGCAAACTGCTGAAGGCCTGAATGTCCAATTCTAACTCCATAAACAGGCATGTGGATATACCGCCCTGTTATTTTGTCATTCGTGCCCGTGACCAGAAACCAGAGCCCAGTTCCTCTACAAGCATGCAGGCCACCACCTCACAGTCACATGCCGTTACTCCAGGGACGCGCTTCGGAGGCGCGATAAGATAGCGTGAGAATGGACTTGGCGTGGACAAAAACCAATCAATAACTGCCACCACCACCACCCCCTCCCCTACCAACCCCATTTATGTGTAGCTGACTTTTGCTGTTCTCATTTACACTGACAATGGCAACTCGTGTGGAGCCGAAAGCTCAGAATAAAATTATTGTTTCCGAGATCGCGTCTTTGTCTTCTTTACAACAAGAACCTGGGGCACGCATATTCCCTTCTATTCGTGCGACAAATTTCTGTCGTCGAAGGTAAGTGTCGCACCGCGCGACACAGTACTTATAGGTAGTTGACAAACAAAGTTAATGGGGATTGTGACTTTTGCGGGAGTAAGGGGGGGGGGTTTGT